AGGGCAGTCTTGCTGCTGTTTGCCTCAAAAATGGCCTGAAAAAGCTCTAGATTAGACTAACTGGTTAGTGTTTGTCAATGTGACATAAACTACAGTCACCTGGGAAAAGGGACCTTCCACTGAGACGGGCCCGTCTGTGGAGCTTCTTGACTAGGAATTGATATAAGAAGGCTTAGTCCACTGTGAGTTGTGCCACCTGGGCAGGTGGTCCTGGATTGGGCTGAGCAAGCCACAGGGAACATGCCAGTAAACAGCATTCCCCTATGGTTCTGCTTCTGTTCCTGCTTTGAGTTCCTGTCCTGATGTCTCTTCATGACAGACTATAACCTGTAAGTCAAATACTCTTTCCCTCCGCAAACTGCTTTTGCTGAGTGTTGTAACTACAAAAAGCAAACTAGAACCCTGATCTTGGCTGGGCATGGTGGCATACACCTGTGAGCTCAGCATTCCTAAAGTATAGGCAAGGTTAATGGGAGCTCAAGGCTACACAGCTTGGGAACCACATCTTAAACAAACAAACAAACAGACAAACAAACAAAAACAAAGCCTATAAAGCCTATAAAGTCAGATCTGACACCAACGAGTCTTGAGCAGGCCTGAATTTCAGGGCCTACTGGAGCCAACTCACTTGTTCTAACCTCTGACCTCAGAGCTCCTGAAGAGACAGCCAGCCTGGGACCCTGCATCTCATAGTCTGTAATTCTGCATAAGGGCTCAACTCCTAGGTTGCAAAGTGGGAAGCTCCTGAAAAGGCCTCTCAGATGAGGCCTAGCAAAGATTAAGCCATCTCTTCTTCTCTCTCATACAGGCTTCTGAGCACACGTATAAACAGAGGGCTGAGCCAGGTGTTGTGGTGCACACCTGTAATCCTAGTGCTCTGGGAGGCAGAGGCAGGCAGATCTCTGTGAGTTTGAGGCCAGCCTGGTCTACAAAGTGAGTCCAGGACAGCCAGGGCTACACACAGAGAAACCCTATCTCAAAAAATCAAAACAAACCAACCAAAAACAAAAACAAACAAAAACCCCACAAAAGGTTATGTGCAGGTAGAATTGCATTTATGCTAATGACTACTGATCTGTGATCCAACCACTGTGTAAATGGATCTAGAAAACCAGAGTTGGGCCACGTGGTAAAGGGTGGCCTCTGGAGCTCTGCTTGAAGGCCCCTCATCTAGCAGGCTGGCACTTACTGTGAGACACTGGAGAGAACCAGGATGCTTAATTAAGGCTCTGCCTCTGAAGGAGTGAGGTGGAACTGTGACAGTCACCTCTGGGCTGGTCACCTAGGGGGGAAGCTGCAGGGGCCCAATTGGGTCTGCCATATGCACTGGGCACTGCTCTCTGTGGCCTGGCGCCACTTGCCTCCTCCACACTCTAGACAGCAGCTGGGACCTATCACTCAACAGAAATTTACCTTCACCCTATTATAATAAACAGACTTAACCTCTAAAAACGGGCTATAACACAGCAATTGTTGGTTTTTGTTTGTTTGTGAGACAGGTCTCACTATGTGGCCCAGGCTGACCTCAAACTCACCTTACGAGCTTTCTGCTTCAGCCATTTGAGGTTACAGGCATGCACCACCAAACCTGGCTGGGTCACAAGAGTAAAAGTTCTTTTCTTGCACCATCTGGTGTGCTCCTGGAGCAACAAAAGTAGAATGTTCAAGTTTAGCCCTTGGTGTGCTGTTAATGACAGAGCTCTATGGCTGACCCCAATAGAGGGGCTGGTGGGTTGGCTTACAGAGGAATCATCAAGCGGGTCTCCTTCTCATAGATGTCTGGAATCAGTCCCATTGGAGAGTTAATCATGTGCACTGTATTCTTGCCAAACAGCCGGAACTCATAATGGATGAGCTGCTCCCAAAAGCCACTGTTGGGCCTGATGATGGGCCGGCATGATTTAGTCCAAGTGTGAGCATCTAGAAGGGACATGGCATGGTACTTCATGAGGTAGGCGAGGCACAGGGCAGCTGAGCGGCTCACGCCAGCGGCACAGTGCAGCAGTGTGCGGCCCTGCTTCATCTCCACCGAGTGGATGTGGTCAGAGATGGGGTCGAAGAAATCACAGAGACGTGCGATTGGAGTGTCGACCACAGGCACCTGCGTGTACTGGATGTCCTCATAGAAGGTGTTTGCTACCTCTACTGAGACATTGATGACCGTGGTGATCTGCTTGTTGGACAGTAGGGATTTGTTGTTGGCAGCCACACCATTGCTGATAAATAGGCTCTTGGTGATCTGTGAGAGGCCACTGATGGAAGGCTGTGGGAACTGAACTGGGAAGGCACCCAAAGGTGAAGTCATCAAGGTGACAGGTCAATAGCTGTGATGTGTTAAACTTGCATCTTTCTGCTAGGCTGTGCCCACTGAACACTGCAGGAAGGAAGAAGTAGTTTGGAGGGTGAGAACTCAAAAGACTTCTGGGATGGACGGCTGGGCCTCTAAGGCTAGCCAAGGCAGTCTTGTGACCACCGTGCAGAAGTAGGCAAAGAACTCATTAGTTACACTGAAGTTTGTGTCACTAAGCCAAAACTGTTACCTGAGTGTTCAGGGTTTTTCCACACAGAAAACATTGGAAATGAGAACAGCTAACATGAGGGGAATATCGAAAAGACTCTAGTAGGGTGGGCAGCTTTTCCTCCGGTCCCTAAACTCCTGGAATAATGACTCATGAGACTCAAAATATATTTACAAATACTTAGGCCATATAGGTAGGCACTTGTTTGACTAGCTCATAACTTAAAATAACCTATTTATTCTATTCTAAGTTCTGCCACATGGCTGGTTACCTCTGCTCAGGTGCCATGTCACCCTCACACCTACCCAGGCGAATCTCCTGTGCTTGGCTCTATCCCTCTTTGCCTGAGGATGTCCTGCCTTCTATTCTACCCTTTCCTATAGTCTGTAGGTTTTTCAACTGACAGGGAATGCATCCATACAATACAGAAGATATTGAAGGGACTTCAGCTAAAGGAGTGGAAGGAAGTCAGCTATGGCCAGAGGGACCATGAACAAAGGAAGGGGCAGACCTTGGGTTTACTGGGGTGGGTTCAGGATAAAAAGGGTGGTTAGAAGCTGAGGGAAATGCAGCTGCTGAAAGAACATTAGGGTGAATGTGTTCCAACTACATTATAGAACTAGACCTAAAGGTTAAGGATAACAAGGGAAGACAATATGCTAAGTCTCTCCATCTTCTAAAGGGAGACCTCAGTCCCTGAGGAGTACCCACACAACCAGACACACAGATGGTGTCATCTACAGCAAGACTAATGGAAACTCGTCATCTATTTGATCAGCTGTGTGACTTCTAATATTAATGACCTCTAAGTCAACAGAGAGCAAGTGAAAAATAAGGCCTGGTGGTGCTCACCTGGAATACTAGCATTCAGGAGGCAGAAGAGGAAGGTGGATCCAGATGCATGGTCCCCTCCCCCCAACAAAGAGCCAGGGAAACAGACTACAGAGTTTTGTTTGTTTTTAGATTGGGGGGGGGGGCGCACTGAAACAAAACTGTCTACTTAAAAATTAACCTTTGAGAAACTGGGATTTCCCAAGAAGGCCAGTTCCAGGTAGCATAAGGATATCACCAGTCTTAATCCCCTCATAACAAAAGTAACCTCATAACCTCAGGCCAGTCAGTTATTTTTCTACTGTTCTTTCTCCCTGTTACTGCCTTCCAAGAAATGTGACTTTGAAGTGACTGATGTTTTTGCTTCTGCTCTTTTCAGTCCTTGTCTGTCCACAAACCACAGACCACGTCTGCTTGGCTTAATGGTACGTTCTATTGTACAGAATGAAATGTTGTGCAATTTTAGAATAGAAAATAAAGCCAAATAAGATCTTCAAACTGTTGACCAATAGGAGCAACACACCTACCTTATAGTGGGTTAGTAGGAAAGTTAAAATGCAAAGCCTTGTGGGGAATGAGAAAGAAAGGTATCTGCTTCAGGTTGGGGGTTATAGTTGCAAGGATAGTCGGGCAATCACAGACAGTAGGGCAGACCTTAAAGAGGAGGCAAAGTTCCAGACCAGCCTGGACTACCTAAACTCTTTCAAAAAGAAATCAAAACAAGCCACAGGGGCTGGAGAGATGGCCCAGCAGCTAAGACCTCTGTTCTTCCAGAGGTCCTGAATTCAGCTCCCAGCCCCCTGGTAGCTCACAGTCATCTCTACTAGGATCTGTTGCCCTCTTCCGGCAGACAGGTGTACATGCAGATAAGAGCACTCATACACATTAAATAAATTAAAAAGCAGAACAACAACAACCAAAAAAAAACACAACAAAAGAACAAACCCAATTCCACTTCCCACAAAAATCTGAACAGTTTGACGAGGAGGAAACAGAAACTTGCTCACGATTGTTTTCCCATTTTACATTCAACCAGGCCTTTGGCAAGCGAGACCCGAGGGAAAACCGTTTGTTCACCATCAGACAGCAAGTTCTGAAGTCTGGTGTATTACGCTTTCTGGAGAAAGCTGGCAGATACAGGTGGGGCGTTGGTTAAGTTCTGGGTTATAAACGTGGAACAGAGTCCACAAGTTGGATGAGCGGGAAGCTTCCTCGGGAGTTGGCCTCGGAATGATTCCCTACGTGGTGACAAGACTCCGACGACCTTACCTCCTTCCCGCGGTACCCCGGGAATCTTTCAGGGAGCCAAGGCAGGGCGGAGCCGCGGGCGACCATCTCCAAGAAAGGGAGGGCCCGTCCTGATCCCCGATCTCGGCGGCAACGGCTCCTCCTCGCGCAAAAATGGGCAGTTCCGGGCCTGGGGCGGGTGGCGGTGGGGGCCGCGGCCTCGCAGGACTCGCGCAGCTGCCAGGGCTCGCGGAAAAGCCGGGTGGCGCGCCGCAGGGCCTACGGGCCCGTCTCCACGGCGACGCGCCGGGCGGCGTGTCTCAGGGAGCCCGGAAGAAGCCATCGCTCGGCCCGGCCCCTCGCCCGTCACCCAGGCAACGCGCCCGGCCGAGCGTCACAAAGAGCGCCGCGAGCTCGGCGAGCTCCGCCGCCCGCAGGCCCCGCCCGCTTGCCGTCTCCCGGGTAACGCGCAGAGTTCCTCCTTAGACTTGAGCGTAGGAAGTTGCTCCGCGTCCGCGCTCCCTTCCGTCATGGATTTCCCTTTAGCTCGCTCTCCCAAGTCGTACTTCATCCACTCAGATTCCTCTACACAGACCAGAAGGCCTTCGGTCAAATGGAACCTGAACTCGGAGTACGAACACGTTGCCAAGGAGACCACCGGGCACGGCACGGACTTCCGGCGCGAGAGACTAGACAGCCTGCAGTGGGACCATGGCGTCCGCGTCCAGCCGCAGACCCGCTTCCTGAGGCCGCGGACCCCTTTGGTTTATATAGCCAGGTGTGGCTCGGATGTGCAGAGCGGTCGTAGCTCCGCCCACTCATCCCCCAGGCCAACCTGTGGGACCCTCAGAAGCCGGGACCCCGGGCTGAAGGCCCTGTCAGGTTTCCAACCTTCGAATGGAATCCTGACTTGACACCTTGCAGTCCGAGCACACTTTGAGGTGACGCCTGGGGAGGCTTAGGACTCAGGGCCAAATTTTTTGACTTTCCATTCTCCAGCGGTCCCAGAAAAGCCTTCAGTTCCCCTTTGTTTGGTTCCGAGCCCACGCTTACTTCCTCAACCCCTCACCCAGGATCAGCCAAGTTCCTACAGAGGACTTATTCTGGAAAAGCAATTTGGTTCAAAATGACCATTATTTATTACTTGGAAGAGATTATGTTAACATCTTTCTCCTTTTTCATTTCCGATTTTGATGAATTTGGTGCATCACTGAATAAAGAGGGTCTTTAAATATTTAGTCTCTTGTTGAAAATAGGATTTAGACTTGTATGTGAATTCCTGACCTTTGAACCATCAGCACCTGGGTATGTTGAGTAATCCTACGTAAAAGCCAGAAAAATAGAAGTAGGCCTGGGATGTTAGTTTCTTTGTAGTAGTTTATAAATGTAAGCACACCAAGACAGTTCTTACATACTGACAGAAAATAAATTGGAAAACATTTTCTAATTTCTCTATAGGTTTTTTTTGTTTGTTTGTTTTCTTTTTAATCTGGGCATGGTTGCACATGCTTGTAATCATATCACTCCGGTGCAGGAGGCAGGAGGATCAGAAATTGAAGTTCACCCTCAGCTTTAGAGGGAGTTTAGGCCAGCTTGGATGCGCAAGACCTTGTCACACACAGACTATATGTTTTTTTTTTTTTTTGGTTTTAATTATAAAAGTGGTGTATTTTAAGATGGTCTTACTGCTCTGATGTGCTAACCATGAGTTTAGTGTAAGCTTTCGTGTTTGTGGTTCCTTCCGTTCTTGTGTGTATCTGGCAGCCATTTCTGTTGCAGTCAATTCGTGGAAATGTGTGTGGAGTTCTTCCCTTTTTGCTGCTGTTTGGTTGGGAGTCTGTATTCAGGGAACACTTCACTAGCACATCTGTCATTTCTCAGGTTTCTTTTAAAATGGTTTGTGGATCATTGCAAAAGTAATGTACACTAATTAAACACCACCACCACCAAGGAAACAGAAGCCAGGGCAGCAAAACAAATGATCAGAAACAATCACTGTTAACATTTTAATGTATATGTTTAAGGTCCTGTGCTGGTTAGTTTTTTTGTCAACTTGAAACAAATTAGAGTTACCCTAGAGGAAGGAACCTCAGTTGGGAAATTGCCCAATTGGCCTGGGGGCAAGTCTGTGGGTATTTTCCTAATGATTGATGTAGGACTATTCAGCCAACTTGGGTGGTGCAGGTGTTGTCTAAGAAGGCCAGTTGAGCAAGTCAAAAAAGCAAGCCAGTAAGCAGTCTTCCACAGACGGCCTCTGCTTAAGTTCCTGCCTTCAGGTTCCTTCCTTGGGTCCTGCCTCAGCTTTACTTGATGAGTGACTATAATCCGTAAACACTTTCTTCAAGTTGTTTTTGGTTAGTGTTTTATCACAGCAACTGAGAGAGGCTGAGATAATCCACATATAAATGTATTTATATTGTATTTTTAAATAACATACAGCACAAAAAAATTCATTTTGTAACCTGCTTTATACTTGATCACATGTATTTTATCAGATGATAGAGCACAATTATCCACTTGCTTCCTTGGACATTTGGCCTCCAAGTTTTAGAATGAATGAACAATTATTTTTAAAGGGAAAATTATTTTAAAACACTTCATAATGTGATTAAATTATAAAAAAAATGAAAACACTGGCTAGCAACATCCTTTGCTATTTATTTGTTGAGACATGGAGCCCAGGTTGACTTAAATTCACAGTATAACTAAGAATGGCTTTGAACTTCTGATCCTCCTGCTTCGGCCTCCCAAGTGCCTGGATTATAGGTGAGTTTTTACTGGTGCTGGAGACCACCCAGGACTATGTGCCTGCTAGGCACACATTCTACCAGCTGAGCCTCATTCCCAGTTCTCTTTTCTGCTCATATTGCTCAGTACTTTCCATCCTTGTAGGTGTCTCCAGCCCCCTGAGACCAGCCACGGGACCAGGATTCCTATGAATACCAACATTCAGCACAACATGACGTAGCAAACATAAACATTCACTGATTGCATGGTCCCCAAGGGTGAACTTTATCAACGACGTTGTTGTTTTGCAGTGTCAAAACGTGGAACACACTTGTTAGAGTCCCAAAAGCCCCGTAGCACCTCAGATTTCCCTCTTTTAAACATTTCCCGAACTCTTTCCTTAGACTTTCCTTATTAACTAACCCTGTGTCTACCTAAATTCCTCCCTTATCCCTTCTTTTTTTTTTTTTTCTAAATTTCTTCCTTCCTTCCTTTCTTCCTTTTAAAGACAGTTGTCTGTGTAGCCCTGGCTGGTCTTGAGCTCTCCTACTTGCTTTCAGCTTCTCGAGTGCAGAGATCACAGGCACACATTCTTCTTTCTTTTTTTTCTATCCTGTTCTGCTGTATCCCCTCTTCCCAGATCCCCTTTCGATCTAGGCTGCAAAGGAAGATCCCCTACCTCCACCTCTCTCCTTTAATCTTTTCCCCTTCCAATGTCTATTCATCTGAGACTCTCCACCTTTGCTCTTAGCCTGGATTTTCTCACAGCTGGCCTTGCCCAGCATTGCAGGCGGAGCTCAGTGGTAGAACGCTTGACTGGCATGCGCTGCTCTACATTCCACCCCATTGCCAACCACAGGAAATAGAGGAGAGGGGAAAGGGAACAATGGAGAATGGGGCAGGGGTAGTTGGAGGGCAAAGGCCTGCATTTTCCAGTACTTGGGAAGCAGAGACAGGTGGCTCTCTGTGAGCTCCAGGCTAACTGGGTCTACAGAGCGAGTTCTAGGACAGTCAGGGCTACAAAGCAAGACCCTGTCTCAAAAACAAAATAAACCCAAAGAGGTACCCTCCACCATCCCAGCACCTATTGAATCAGGCCTTGAGCTGCTGTGTCTAACCTGTCCCATCTTTCCCTCTCCACTCTAGCCGATTGAGTGCCAATGATGCAAACGTGAAGAAACTTTTACCCAAGAGCCATTTATCTCGGGTGATTATTCGGGACAACCTCAACGCACAGCGCATCTACGAGATGGAGGTGAAGTATCCACCAGGTTCTGTGCTGGAGCCTCTTAGTGGCCTGACCACTCCACACTTGTCATAGCTCTCTCCTTCCTTCCTCATGCTAATAGGGGGCCCCATCTTTCCAGAGGAGACAGATGGCACATGGGGTTGGTGTCTTGCCCAAAGTGTCAAATGCCTCTGCCTAGCTGAAGAGACTCAGAGAGGAAGACCTTGCCTCCTGGCTCATGTCTTTTTTGTTTCCTGAAACACAGTATCTCCCACATACAGAGCTTCAGGCTGTACAGCTCGAACTGACATCAGCATTAGTCTGGTTAGCTTTTTTCCCTTTTGAAAACTTATCCCATTTACAGAGGAAAACTGAGGCTAGCCGTAGCAACAACAAACCCACAAGAAGACACAAGCCAAGCAGGGCTCCATGTGTGCTCCCAGTGTTAAGCTTCCCATGCTAGGGTCCAGTAGAGACTCTACGGGACCCAGAGATGGGCCAGTTTTATGTGATCTTGGGTGAGTCACACTTTCTTCATTTGTAAAGTGGGGTTTGAAACTGTTAGTTATGGGTTCTGTAATGTAAACCTGAAGTCGTTGAAGTAAAACAAGGAAGTGGAGTTCACACAGCAGGATGGACAGGACAGGACAGGACAGGACAGCCGATGCTTCCTGGCTTCCTTTGCAGCTTTTGCCATCTGTCTTTTGAAGTCTGGATCTACTTTAGGGGTATCTCACGTTCGATCCTGGCTTAGAAATGTTGAGCATTATTTCACATTCTGATTGGATTGGGGAGGTTGCCTACAGTTGGGCCCCCACATCCCTTCCTGCAGCCAGTTCATGGTAATACACAATTGAATTCAACTGAGTGAGAAAGGATTTGTCCATTCAGACCTTACAGTCTAGGACAGGAGTTATGAAATGGATGAAATTAGGATTCCCTGTGATAGAAGAGCTCTCACAGGTGAGGTGTAGACACAAGTTAGCTAGCATATGTATCTATAAGTTGCAGACAATACGTAAACAGCACAATTATTAATAGGGACATGGTGGTAGAGTTTATGAAAGGAGAAAGAAACAAGATGGAAGCCAGGCAGCGGTGGCACACACCTTTGATCCCAGCACTCGAGAGGCACAGGGAGGTGGACCTCTGAGTTCGAGGTCGGCCTAGTCTACAGAATGAGTTCCAGAAGAGCCAGGGCTACTGTCTTTAAAAAAAAAAAAAAATTCATAAAACAAGAAGGACCTCCTTGCTCCAGCAGCCTCCATTTTTTTTTTTATTTCCTTACAGTTTTTCTCTGTTTATTATTTATTTTGTGGTTTTTGTAAGTGAACCAAGGGTTTCTTATATGCTAGGCCAGTTCTCTATTCCTGGCCCTGCTAATCCCTATTTCCTTAGCTCAATCTTCAGACGGTTAAGGTTGAAATCAGGCTCCTAAACTGCAGAGCACCAGAGGGCACCATGGTAATCTATCCAGCCCAATGTCCATTCTTTACGAACAGGGAAACTGAGTTCCCTGAAATCCTAGCTGTTTCATGGAGTTACTATTGGGTTGAGCAGGCACCATGCCACCTCCAGGTCAGCCGCCTCAGACGCCTCTTGCTACTACATGACTTGTTTATCCTAAACCCACCTCTGTTTTTCATAAGATGCACTCCTCCGACAAGACCAAGAGAAAGATGAGTGGCTTATACGAGCACCTGAAAAAAAAGTTCATGTCAGACCAGCTGAGAAAGATGCTGCGCTGGAAGCGGGAATCCCTGAGCACCCAGCAGTACTTGGACAGCCAACGGACTTCCAGGGGCTCCACTTAGGTGGCAGGCCAGACATCGTAACTGGGGCAGATCATTCGGAAGCACAAAACCACCCTGGGGAGAGCTGAGGAGACTCAGAACATGCTGCTCTCCACCACTGTAGCGCAATAAAGGGATACGGTAGGAGCACCAAAGGTCACTTCTGATCTGCTTTGCTCTGTCGTCCCCATTTGCAGAGGAGTTTAAGCCAGAACAGCTTGAACTGAACCAGTCAACAAGAGTTCAGAAAGAGGGCTGGAGAGATGGCTCAGCACTTAAGAGCACTGACTGCTTTTCCAGATGACCTGGGTTCAATTTCTAGCAACTACATGGCAGCTCACAACTGTCTGTAACTCCAAGATCTGACACCCTCACATAGACGCACATGCAGGCAAAACACCAATGCACATAAAATATAAGTAAGTAAATTATAAAAAAAGAAGAGGAGTCCAGCAAGAGCTAGAAATGGTAAGCTAATTCAGCAGTAAGTCTCAGAGGTTGAAAACATTCTAGGCCTAGATCAGATTGTACGGAGGCTAGAAGCTTCCAGGACTAGGCCTAGGTTAGCAGACAGGCAGTAAAACCTCTGAGATAACAATTATATCAGGCGAACAAAAGTTACTTTTACAGTAATATAGTAGTTTTATTTATTTATTTTTTTTTGAGGAACCTCTAATTTCTGTAGTGGTGGCAGTAGCTTTATTATGACTGGCAGTGTGCCCTTACCAGCATTTGCTGCTGTTGGCTGCCTTGATCATAGTCATTCTGACTCAAGTGAGATGGAATCTCAAAAAGTTTTAATTGGTGCTTCCCTGATAAATAATTTGTCTATTTTAAAAAAAGATTTTACATTTGTAAAATATTTATTATTAAAATGTTGTGTGTAAGAGTGTTTGCTTGCAGATGTGTATATGCCTAGTGCCTGATGAGACCAGAAGAGGGTGGTAATCCCCTTAAGCTGGAGTTACAGGCTCTGAGACTCCTGGCATGGCTCTGGAAACTGAACCTAGGTCTGCTGCAAGAGAGTAAGTGCTCTTAACTATCGAGCTATGCCTCTAGCCTTACAATGTTTTAAAGTTATCTTAATGTTATATTAGTCGAGGTTCTCCACAGGAACAGAACTGATAGAATGAACATAGATATATATTAAGAGGGGATTTATCAGGACTTAGAGTGGTTTACAGGCTGTGAGCTGAGTGGTCTGGCATGGATGTTTCCTGATGAATAGGCCAAGAAGTCGTTCAGTCAATGAGGCTGGATGTCTCGGCAGCTCCCATCTGGTGCTGGAGCCCCAGAGGGTTCCCGGAGAGCTGCTGCTCTTTAGTCTCTCCAGTTTGGAATCCCAAAGAAGTGGGTTCTAATACGAACGATGCAGTGCCTTAGCAACAGAGTAGATGAACTTGCCGTCAAGAGCGAGGGCAAGCAGGCAAATAGTGAAAGCTTCCTTCTTCCACGTCCACCAGAAAATGTGGCCCAGGTTTGGTGTGGCTCTTCCCACCTGCAGGGGAGATGTAGGGGCAGAGAACAGTGGGCCTGGAGGATCCGGTTCTCTCCTACCACCTATTATGGCTTCCTGCGGATGGAATGTGATTGTCGGGCCTGCGTGGCAAGTCTCTGAGCCACCTCACTAAGCTGACTTCCCCGGTTTTTAAAATGTAAGTTTTCTTTAAAATGTAAGTTTTCAAAGTACTTCCTAATAATCCTCTGATTTCACTGAAGTCTGTTGTAACACTCATCTCTATATTTTAATTCTATTAATTTGAGTTTTCTTTTTCTTTTGGTTAGGCTAGCTAGAGTTTTGTCGATAATTATTTTAAAAGTTTTTAAGTTTGTGTTTATGTCCGTGTGCGCGTGTGCATGTGGAGGTCAGAGCACAGTTTTCAGGAGCTGGTTTTCTCTTTCTACCATGGAGTGAGCCCATGTGGTGTGAGGCTCGGTGGCAAGTGCCTTTCCCCGCTGAGCCATATTGGCAGCCCCGTCTTTTACCTGCAGGTCCCCGCATGCCTCTCCCATCCTGAGAGCTGAGACTGCAGATGGGAGCCTTCCTGAGGCAACGCAACTTGCATTTGTCTACACCCCAGGTGGGGAACCCATGACAGACCAAAAATACCAGTCACACCAGAACCCAACCTGATGAATGTAAGTATGCTAATGGGCTCATCTATTCTAGTTTCAGGAATATGACTGAGGGGTTACTTATGGGAGCAGGAACTCAAAAGTAGCTTTATCACCGCCAGCCAGACCCGGGGTGGTGATGACTCACAAAAGCTGCCAGCCTGGGCCTCTCTGCCCATCTGCAGCTCTGGGACTCTCTTCCAGGAGGCTCTGTGGGTCAGCGTCGCCATCTGCTGCAGCGCAGCTTATGGGTCCCCTAACCTTGGCACTAAAAGAGCCTCAGGGATCTTTTAAGTTTTCAGCTTTCCCAAGCATGTGGAGTTTGTGTCCTTTACAGTCTTGTGAGCCTCCCACTCCCTCATGGAGGGACTGCTTCAATTAAGAAACTGCTATATAATGTCGGAGTCACTGGCCTGTCTATGCCTTATTCTTTTTTTTTTTTTTTAAGATTTATTGATTTATTTATTATGTGTGCAGTGTTCTGCCTGCATGTTCTTCTGCATGCAGAAGAGGGCACCAGATCTCGTTATAGATGGTTATGAACCACCCTATACCCTATTTTTTTTCCCACCCAATTCTTTTAGTCCTTATCAGTTTATACCTGGGTAGTCATTATTTCTTGCTGTCTCCTGCTTTCAGGCTTGTGATGTTTTTGTTTTTCTGATAACTATAGTCGCATCATTAGGATATTTATTTGAAATCTCTCTTATTTTTTTTTTTTTAGTGTAAATTTAGCTATGAGCGCTCCCCTTAGAACTACCTTAGTTAGCTGTGTGCCAAGGGTTCGAATAGGTTGTGCTTTCATTTTCATTTGATTCTAGTAATATTTTAATTTTACCCTGATTTCATCTGTGAACCACTGTTTATTAAGTGTGTATGTTTAGTCTACATGCATTCTTGTGGTTTCTGTTGATATCTAGTTCCATTGATCCAGCTACACCACTCCTAGGCATATATCCAAAATATGCTCAAGTATACAAGGACATTTGCTCAACTGTGTTTGTAGCAGCTTTATTTATAACAGCCAGAATCTGGAAACAACCCAGATGTCCCTCAACTGAGGAATGGATACAGAAATTGTGGTACATTTACATAATGGAATACTACTGAGCAATTAAAAACAAGGAAATCATGAAATTTGCAGGCAAGTGGTGGGATCTAGAAAAGATCATCCTGAGTGAGGCATGCCAGAGGCAGAAAGACACACGTGGTATATATTCACTTATAAGTGGATATTAGACATATATTGTAGGATAAACATACTAAAATCTGTACACCTAAAGAAGCTGAGCAAGAAGGAGGACCCTGGATAAGATGATCAATCCTCACTCAGAAAGACAAATGGGGTGGACATCAGAAGAGGGAGAAAACAGGGAACAGTACAGGAGCCTACCACAGAGGGCCTCTGAAAGACTCTACCCAGCAAGGTATCAAAGTAGATGCTGAGACTCATAGCCAAACTTTGGGCAGAGTGCAGGGACTCTTATGAAAGAAGGGAGGGATAGAAAGACCTGGAGGGGACAGGAGCTCCACAAGGAGCGTAACAGAACCAAAATATCTGGGCACAAGGGTCTTTTCTGAGACTGATACTCCAACCAAGGACCATGCACGGAGATAACCTAGAACCCCTGCACAGATGTAGCCCATGGCAGCTCAGTCTTCAAGTAGGTTCCCTAGTAATGGGAACAGGGACTGTCTCTAACATGAACTCAGTGGCTGGCTCTTTGATCACCTCCCCCTGATGGAGGAGCAGCCTTACCAGACCACAGAGGAATGCAGCCAGTCCTGATGAGACCTGATAGACTAGGTTCAGATGGAAGAGGAGGAAGACCTCCCCTATCAGTGGACATGGAGAGGGGCATGGGAAGAGATGAAGTAGAGAAGGTGGGATTGGGAGAGAATGAGGGAAGGGGCTACAGCTGTGATATAAAGTGAATAAACTGTAATTAAAAAATTAATTAAAAAAGTAAAAAAAAAAATGGCTCAGACTATAAGGGTGCTTGCCACTATGTCCTGAGTTCAGTCCACACATGATAGGAGAAAACCCAACTCCTTCAAAGTTGCCCTCTGATCTCCACATGTGTGCTGTGGAGATCAGCACACACACACACACACACACACACACACACACACACACTCAGTCACTCACACTCACCACACAAATACTCATACACATACACTCACATCCATCCACACACACACATGCTAAATAACTTTTGTTTTTATTCTTTATCACATCATGCCTTTATCTAATTTCAGTTACGCATTTTTCATTATTGGGCAACTTTGTCTTTGTTTTTTCTTTTTCTTTTTTGGCTTCATATTTCATCATTTATTCTTTCTAATATACATTTGAATAGTGATTTGACTGTATCTTACTGTTGTTCTTAAAGTAGTCACATTTTTATTTTGTATCTCCCCTTTCTACATTTATCTAATTTTGATTACATTTTTTTCTCATCATTGGGAAATCTTTGTTTATTTTCTTTTTTCTTTTTCTAATTTCTTACTCTTTTCTGTTCTCCTTCATAGCATTCTTCTGCACTCTTCTTTTGCTTTTACTTCTCTACTTCTCCCCATACCTTGATTCCATCCTTTCCTGGTTACTCTTAATTTTTTAAAAACGAATTTATTTTTATTTTATTGTATTGGTGTTTTGTCTGCAAGTATATCTGTGTGAGGGTGTCAGATCTTGGAGTTACAGATAATCGTGAGCTACCATGTGGGTGCCAGGAATTGAACCCCCGTCCCCTGGAAGAGCAGTCAGTGATCTTAACCTCTGAGCCATCTCTCCAGCCCCTGCTCTTAATTTTTAACGTCATGGTGCAGACGTTATTAGTTTTAGCGCTTTCTGTTTTGTGGTAACTGCTGATGTAATCAGGCATCTTGCATGCTTTGCTGTTGCT